AAAATGAAGACACGAGGGTCACATTTTCATTCCAGAAGAGCCAAGCGGCTGCACCTCGTCTGGAGACACCCCTGGCACGAGCAAAGATTTCATCCAGCTTGATTTAAAGCAGATTTCAGCTTATAATAAAATTAATTATTTTAAGAGAGTTTAAAGAGGATGAAATTCGGGCAGAGAGACCCCCCCAAACTGAGGTTCCCTGGGGTTTGAAGTGGGTTGAGCAGCCTTGCAGCTCTAAAACAATTTAAAAGTTATTTTTAAGTGCTTCATTTTTAATTAAATGAGTTGAATTTTAATTATCTGAACACTCCGTGCCAGCTGGGGAGGGTGAAGGACATGGGGGGTTGAGTTTGTGGTGCCCACATTGTCCAGGTGGGTAAGGGACAGAAAAACTCCTCAGAAACCCTCAAAATTCCTAATTCAGGGTGGGAAAATAATCCCTGCACTTGGTTTTTGGCCGATTCCTTCTGCTTTTAGCCCAAACGAGGTGCTGGGGGTGGCAGGTTCACAGAGCTGAGCCGGCACCTCAAATATTCCAAAAAAACCCTGAGGTTTTTAGGGGAAAGAATCAATAAAAGTTGGCTCTTAATTGGTACCAGCCTGGAGAACTCCCTGCAGTGGAATGTGGAGGAATGAATAAAAGTAGTGAGAAATGGAGGGGAAAAAAATATAAAATTTAATAAAAAAAACCAACCTATCAGGTTCTTCTTTTGCCATCATAAAAAGTATAAAAGAAAAAATAAAAATCCCCGTCCCTTTGTCCCCTCCCTTGCCCTCTACAGATGCAAAAAAAAAAAAATCTAATTAAAATTTAGCAGAAGAGAGGGGGGGAAAATAAAAAAAGACACGGGGTTTTTAGCTTTAAAAAAAAAGCAAGAAGATCCTTAACAAAGGCCATAATATTACCAGGGCTGATTCGTCAGCTGCTACCTGATAATCTCGACTTGAGCGAGCTTTATTAACGCTGGAAGCCTCGGCTCTTTGTTAATTACGGGCTTTGCTAATGATTTGGAATATTGGCCAGTTCTGGGGGATGTTGATGAATAGAGACCTCGCCAAGATTTATTCCTAATTATCTCATTTGTCTCCCTCCATTACTTTTTATGGCTGAAATTTATGGAGCTATTACCGGGGACCTCGCCGCGGCTCCGAGATGATTTGGGAGAAGAGAGATGTTTAATAATAATAACAATAATAATAATAATAAAAAAGCTGGATTAATAGGAGAGAGATTAGGTGGGGGCTGCTCCAGGGATGGGCCCTGGGAGGGAGAAATGTCCTTGCCCAGCAGCCAAGGGGTGTCTGGGGGGCTGGAAAAGTTGGGAAAATCCTCCTGGCACCTGTAAGAGTTGGGGGATTCCTTCAGGAGGAGAAATCCAGCAGGGTTTTCCCAGTGGTTTTCCCCATCTTGGTCTCTTTGCTCCCTTCTGAATGATGCTCTTGAGCCTCGGGGATGTTCTGGCTCCTGGTCCACTCCAAAACTGGAATTTGTGACCCCCAAAAGCACCCCAGGGTCATTCCTTTAACCCCAGTGCTGACATTTCCAGGCTCATCCCAATAAAATAATCCAGTGGTTGAATATCTGACACATCTGGATCAGGGAATTTCCTGTGTGGGTGTGGCAGGGACCAGTCCCATCCATCCCCAAAAATCCAAGGAGTTTCCCAGCAATTTTCCCCATCCAGGTCTTCTCCCTCACCTCCAAATGATGCTCCTGAGCCTCTGGGGTTCTCTGATTTCTGATCCACCCCAAAGCTGAAATTTGTGACACCCCAAAGCTGAAATTTGTGACACCCCAAAGCTGAAATTTGTGACAAAAGCACCCCAGGGTCACTCCTTTCACCCCAGTGCTGTCATTTCCACTCTCATCCCAATAAAATAATCCAGAGGTTGAAGATCTGACACATCTGGATCAGGGAATTTCCTGTGTGGGGTCCTGGCAGTCCCATCCATCCCCAAAAATCCAAGGAGTTTCCCAGCAATTTTCCCCATCCAGGTCTTCTCCCTCACCTCCAAATGATGCTCCTGAGCCTCTGGGATTCTCTGATTTCTGATCCACCCCAAAGCTGAAATTTGTGACGCCCCAGGCGCTGAAATTTGTGACACCCCAAAAGCTGAAATTTGTGACACCCCAAGAGCTGAAATTTGTGACAAAAGCACCCCAGGGTCACTCAACCCAGTGCTGTCATTTCCACTCTCATCCCAATAAAATAATCCAGTGGTTGAAGATCTGACACATCTGGATCAGGGAATTTCCTGTGTGGGGTCCTTGCAGTCCCATCCAACCCCAAAAATCCAACAAACCAACCCATCATGGGGCTGAGCCCCCACTCTTTAATTACCCTGCGAAAAGCAATTATTATTATTCATATTAAATAAATATATTATTAATAATATAAATATTATAATTATAATATTAATATTATAATAATATAAATATTATAATTATAATAATATTGTAATAATAATATAAATATTAATTTATTAATAATAAATATTAATTTAATATTAAATTTATTATTTTTCTCTCAGCTGAGCTGGGGACTCCTTCTCTGCCAGGCTCTCCCAGTAAACATTTTGCCAGTCCT